TTAAGAGTTATTCTCTCTTGATCTCAAAAATGTGATGATTTGTGCATTTGGTGGTCTTAATATGGCACAAGAAATGAGTGTGTGTGTGTGTGTGTGTGTTTTTTTTTTTCTGAGAAAGAGAGAAAAGAAAGAGAGAGATGAAAGAAAGGAGGAGAGTGGTGAGGGATCTTTAAGTGAGAAAGACTCAAACCAAGAGGAGTTCGGAGATGGCGGTGTGAAGAGTGGCGAGGTGTAGACTTTTGCATGAAATTTCGCCGTAAGATCGCTGTCCCGCCGCGCGTGACCAATGGTTCTCTGGTTTTCGGCTCTTGTTAACGCTTTTCATCTTGATTTATGGTCTGCTTTGCTTTCTTAATTAAATGCCACCTGCTTTTGACTTTAATTACATTTCCTTCAAGCAATGGTAAACATCTTCATCACATTACATTATGGAGTTGGACCACCTTCACTAGTTCTGGCAACCAGAAAATATACTTAGTGTCTCTCGCCTTCATTGCAGAAATTTGGAGCAACAATGGAAAAGCCTATGTATATATACGGATACCCTTCAAAGCAATTACCTGAATCATTAGTTAGAATGTAGTTAATTTTCCTCTTCTTTTTTTTTTTCTTTTTTAGCTTAGTTGGGGTTGAATGCGGATTAGTATTTAAGGATTTTCTAATTGAGATTCTTTTACGCTTAATAACATCTTATTTTTCTGATTGGTGCTAGACTGAACAGTATTGCTACGAAGGGGGGGGGGTCATAAGAGGCTAATACTAGTGTAATTCTCCAAGAGGATATATAATATAACACCAAGAAATTCATTAATTTCTGATTTTTCAGACAGAAAAAGATCGTCTCAAACACGTGTGCATTGTAACAGAATCAATTTACAAGCTTGATATTACACGTTTTCTTTTATGGAGGAGGATGATAGCTGTTTTTTTTGGCACTTTCACACCAATAGCAGCCTAGAACGCCTGCTAATTTGTTTGTAGTAGTCAAGCTGAATGGTGATGTATCCTGCTTTCAAGATTGTAAAGTTTATTGTCTAAACAGTTGTAGGATGTAATTGAGTTGAACTCGAATATCGCCATACTCGATTTCAACTCAACTTGCAGGATTGATACTCGAGTTTGAGCTCGAGCTCAAGCGAGTAGCATTACTGGAATTCGATACATTATTCATAGAACTCGAGCTCGACTCCCATGGGATTTGGTTCACCTTATCGAGTTGGATTCAAGAAAATTTGGAAATTTCATCTTTTTTTTACAAATTTTGAGCGAATGACATTATCACTCTTCAAAAATTTTTATACAACCTAAGACATTTTGTAAATTCAACCATTCTTGTGAGCATAAGGATAATTTCATAATAATAATATATTAAAAAATTAAAATTAAAAATTTCGATAAGATTCGATGAGCTTTCGAGTTTTACTACTGAATACTCAAACTTGATTCGTTAGGGCTTGTCGAGCTACTCAAACTGGGGTTGAACTCGGATTACTTGAAATCGATCAATCCGAGTTTGAATCGAGTTTTTGATCAAGCTGCTCGCGAGCAGCTCGGTTCGATTACAACCCTACTAAGGACTACGGGATGTGTAATGGTGTATCCGGGAGCACTGAGCAACCAAAATTCAAGTGATTAAATTTCGGCAGAAAGTCAGGTCATCTGGTCCAGATGATTTAGTCAATAATAATAACAAGTTGAGCAGTAGATTTAGAACAACTCACCATGGTAAAAGGTACATTAGCCAAAAATAGCTAGTACCAGTTAATTTTAGGGAAGTTTAGTCGAATCTGATGGCTATATTGGTGAAACTGCAAAACATATTACAAGTACTAGTACAGCATTTGATCTAAATGGAACTTGATTTGGAGAACCGTACACCATGCAGTCCACTGGAACAGAAAAACATTCACCTGGTGGTCTTGATCACTTTTAGCTGTAGCACAAGGCATCCTGGAGACGAAACGGCTAATTTGCCTCCCACGCAATGATTGCCAAATGCAAATATTGTATTCGCCACCAGGATGAGAATTAAGCCACGCCTGTGGTTCATTCCTTACGTAATGTTCTCATCCCCCTCCGCTCCCGGAGATAAAATTGGGCTGAAATATCTGGTCCAAAACCCAATAAAAATGGGTTGGGCCTGCATTCATCGTAGTCGGCAAACGAACCCAAACGTTACAATGCCGAAAGACACGTGCAAGGCTAACAATCAATCGAGAAACTGCGTGGACCTTGCCAACCCAACACAAAAACACGCGTTCCCCAAACTTTTACTTCCATTTCCTCTTTGACCCAAAAGAACGAAAAAGTGCTTCAGAAAAGCAATAGGGAAAAAAAAAGTTCAAAAAAAAGACGAAAAGATGACGGAAAATAAGAACACCTTCGATTCTGTCCGTGAATGGATTGCCGAGCACAAGCTTCGTACTGTTGGTAAAGTTTACTCTTTTTCCTTTATTGCTGTTTGTTTTTGTGATATTATATTTGATGGGCTCAGTTGTTTTCTTCTTGCTTTAATACGAAGGGTGTTTATGGCTGAGTGGAATAGCGGGTTCGATTGCATACAATTGGTCTCAACCCAACATGAAAACCAGCGTTAAGATTATTCACGCCAGGTTTGTATATTTTTGCCCTTTTGCTTCCTCAGAGATAAATGTAAGTTTTTCAGGAGTATGATATAGGAACGATTCTTGAATCTGCTGTAATTTGTTACACTTGATAAAGATTAAATTTTTATTACATTTTAAATGTTATCTTATTGGAAAAGTACGTTTGTATGTGTTTTAGTTCTTAGACGTGATTTGTTGGTCCATAGAAAAGTGGGGTTGGGAGGTAGGAATTGGGAAAGAAAAAGACTGAGGAAATTTGAAAACAAAAATGACCGATCCCAAATTTACCTTTTCGCCTGCAGTTCTTTTCTTGGTTCGGCCTCAAGTACCTACTGAGGTTGCTTAAAGCCTTCTCTTCTTGTATGTTTGAGGAGGAGAAACGTAGAGATGATGGTTTTTATATGCAGTTTTGATTTTCATTTTGCCTTAATGACATATTTCATTGAAGTAAATGAAACAGTGAACGTACATTTTTTTTTATACCATTGAGTTTGTAGTGTTTAGGCTAACGGATCCGCAATCCTGAATGATCTGGTCGTAGTGTGAAATGATCCGATTCCACCAGTGACCACTTTATTGTTCAATGGGCAATAATGAAGTGAGTTATCCTTAACTCTCATGTTTTACCCTGATCAAACTTAGTTTTGATATTGCGCAGCCACCTGGGTTTAGATATTAATACTTGTAGGAATTAATGTGATAACCACATCAGAAGCATTAACTGCTGTTATAGTGAGCAAATCAAACTACTTGTAGAGTGGCTTTTGGTTTGAGTAGTGTGATGGGAGATTAAAAAATTAGACTTTATGAGGTCCTCAAAATTTTTTGGCAGAAATGAGGAAAGCAAGAATGATAATTCTAAGTGCCTGGGCACACTAATTGATGTAAATGTAGCACTCACAAAATCAGCGATTTTCGTTTCCAGGCTTGTCTAGGGCTGGATACTTCGCATGCTTGGTGATTCACTGTTACGGTAGGCTGACTAATTTATCTATTGACTACTATGATACTGACCTACTAGCCCCTGATAAGACTTTCCTGTTTGGAGATCAGGTTTGCTGAATTAACAAAATGTTACCGTGCCTTGGATTCTGCAGAATCCTGGGTTTTATATAATGTATTTTTTAGAGTACATGGTAGGGGCTGTAGGAGCAGCATGGCTCTTCTTCTGAAGCTTTACACAAGCTCTTGGTGGCTTTTCCACTCACATATCTATTTCAGGCTCTCCACATATGAAGTAGTCATATTAATGAATGTTTCAAAATATTATTGTCTCTAGCTGATTTCTAGTCGCTTATGGTCTAGATCTGAAAATTATTTTGTCTAAGTAATTTTTTTGAATTGCTGCTGAGAGGAATCAGGATTGCGGTAGGTTGTTTTGGTTAATATTCCAGTGCCTATATTTTTTCCATTATTATTATTTTTTTGGGTTCTGGTATTTTGACTTTTCTTTTCGTGAATCAGGTTGCATGCGCAAGCGCTGACACTTGCTGCATTAGTTGGGGCTGCTGGTGTTGAATATTTTGACCACAAATCTGGAGCAAAAGCTGAACGTGTTGCCAAGTTTCTTAATTATGAAGGACATCCTCAAAAGGATTGAATCTGTGATTCGTTGAATGTTATTACATCCACTTGGAATATCATTTAATCTAATACGAGATAGTCTTAGTTCCTTAATAGGATGTTTTTGCGGGGAAAACACACGGAGCTTTTGTTTTCTTGTGATATGTTTGATTATTCAGCCTGGATGATTGATTTTGTTGCATGGACTGCTCGTCGCGTCCGGCCGCCTTATTGAGAACCTGAAGAAGAGGAAAAGTGAATGGAATATTTCTATTTGCAGTAGTTATCTTGGTTTTTTCTTGGGGTTTTTGGCTTAATCGCTTACGTTTTGTTAAAACTTAAAAAACTGAAAAGCTCAGAAGGGACGGCAAATCCCAGTGGTACCATTCAGCATACTGCACCTATGATTTTAGCTTCGTTTTCTGGCAGTATTACATTTCCGTTCATTTTGGTGCAGTTCTGCTCAAACAACTGTCTTGTCTTAACCTTGAAAGGGAATTGTTGATAACTACTCAGGACTATCCTACTTTTGATTCTACGATTTCAGTTTATATGTCACTAAAGCTTCAGTTCCACCTGCTACAGCTGTGCTATGAAAACAGAACTTTTCCCAGTGACTGAAAAAGTTTGTACAGGACGGATGTTTGGAACGTTGCTCCATGCAGCAAATGCCATAACTTGCTATATTATCCACGTGCTAAGAACACTTGATCCCGGTAAAACCACGCGAAGTTGTTTGTAGTTTGTACATGATAGTAAAACTTTCGAGTCAATTGATATGCAGGGAGCGGCAAGGACTAACTTCGTGCAAAATGTTGTGCCCCAATTGAATTATGCAAACAAATATCAGATTTTCCACTAATTTACATGCCAGGCGTACACAATTTTTGATGATATACAGTGATTTTATCGTATGATGTTCTTGTTTTCTAGTTACATTCTTTGCTCTCTCTCTCTCTCTCTCTCTCTATATATATATAAACTTTTTACATGGGGAATATGGCTCCAAACTGATTCTAAGCATTTGAGTCGACCCATATCTGGGGTCATGTCCGTCTTCTGTTACAGTGGAATCCAGCCCTGTATAATGACAATATTACACGAGTACGAGGATTAATTGTTACAGAATTAAACCGAATTGTGCTTTCTGCTGAATTTAACTAACCTTGATGAGTCCTGTCTCAGTACCACAAAGAATCATGTCATTGGCGGAAAGTAGGCTCGTTATTTTGCTGCCAGCTGATAATCTTCCAACTTTGTGTAGTGTTCCTCTCAACCAGATCTGGACACATGAAATACAGGTAAGATGAGGGCACCAAATGATTTTGTCCAGGGAAAATGTGTTTAATCCTTTTTGTTCAAGAACATAATGAAGATCTTGTTCATTCCTACTCTACAGTGGAGCATTGACATTCCATATTTGCCTAGCAGTTATCTACATGTGATGGTCGTCTTGCTCGACTTACCTTATTTCAAGGCATTAAGGCCTATCATTAATCTGGTTTTGACATGAACCAGTCAATTTATGAACTAGATATTGTTGTTTACCTGAAGACTGCTTCTTGACGCAGCGGTATTCAAGTATATGAAATCCTCTACTACTTCCATAGCGAGCACATTTGCACCTTTCTCAGACATCACTGATACTTGGGGCTTAATGTTGCGTCTCCAATCCTGCACGTTTGTCCTATTACTGAAGTGTTTTAATAGATTAGATGTTAACAATTAGTGTACCTTTATTGTAGAACCTTCAACTACTACACTTCCACCATATAGCCAGTCCTTGTAAACAGCTAGCGTGTTGACTGGCTTATTCTGCATCAGCCACTTCTTTGCTGGTGCTCTAATCTCTTGTTCTCTGCTGTTTGTTATGGCCAATTCCTGAATCAAGTTGTATATTACTGCGTGTATTATATTGGGAACCAGCTGTGTGTTCATTGAAGCCTCAAACTAACCTGTATGCTTGAATCTACACACCCCGCGTATACCTTCCCGTGTACAACCGTCATGGCCTTTACACTTTTATTCTTGAAAATGTCTTTTGCATTTCTTGAGGCATCAAAAACCTAGTAGATAGGATCATGTTAAAGGTAATTAGTTCGTGTACTCATTCAGAATAATGTTCATGACCAAATTATAAGTTCGCTCATCATAATCATTACCTTCATTTTATGACCTCGGCTAATTGTGAAAATTAATTGCCCAAAAGTATCAATACTTTGAATTGATTCCTTGGTTGCTATTATTTCTATGCATTCAAGATTTCTTTGGACCATTTGCCAAATCTGCATGAGGGACAAAAAAAGCAACGCTTCTTATGAAGATGCTCGTCATTTTTCTGCTATCAGCACAATTGATAAGAGAAATGATGGTTTTCCTACCTTAATTGATTTGTCTGCAGATCCGCTCAGCAGGCAATTCCCTTGTTCAAGAAGAGCAAAGCATGTTACTGCCTTATTGTGATTTTTCATGTCCTGTGCTAGTGTTGCAGTCTGTCCCTTAATGTCCCATACCTATGATATCAAACTGCAGGTTATGATGATTTTCTCCATCAAATTCCATGTTATGCTTCTTGAGATCGAGGGAGTCAAATATATTGTTGAAACTCCATGATGGGCTATTAGAAGATTCTCCAATGCTTTTGGCCAAGTTCAACAACATAAAGAGAAGATAAAACGGCAATGCTTGCCCAAAAACTAACTTGGTGGGGAATGACATGCTTTTTGCACTAATTTAGTTTCGTGATTAAGAAGTGTGAAAAACACAAAGACAGAACTAACCTTAATTGAACCATCTGCATATCCACTGCAAATCTGTCCCCTGTAGTATATGAGAGCTGTTACAGCTCCATTACGACCATGACCAACCTCCAAAGTTTGAGTATGAACACAAGATATTCGCTGCATGATGCCAATGTATCAGAGGTTAGTACTTGAAAACATAGAAAAACACATTTGTGCATGTACCAGATATCGTGATTTTTTTCTTTTTCCTTGTGAATTTGAATGTGATGGATCATGCTAGACGTTTATCCTAAATTTCGTGTTGATATCTATTCCATCGAAACTTGGTTGCTGGATACCTCTTTGTCAGCTGCATTCATTGTCATTCGTCGTTTCATCCACAATGGTATGTTGTTTCAAACACCTGCATCCTTTCACTTGGCTTCCTTCTTAAAAAATTATCGTACTTAAAGTTATGAGATTTTGTAGCTATATTCTTTGAGGAAGATGAGAGGACTCGAATGTTACCTCAGTACGGGAAGATACAAGATGTCTATCACCAGTTTCTTGACATTTTGGGGAATATTAGGTGCAACTAAATTAAGCTACTAGTGACATTGCAAGTTTATTGCGATTCATTAAACAAATTCTAATATGTGTGTTAGAAGTGTTGTTCAGTTGCTATGGACTTTATGCTGTAATTCTACTTTGTAGATCCAAATGCCAAGTGCTAGACTTAAGAGTAAAACAAGGCATATTTTGTTCTTAATCTATTTGCTCCTTTTATTTAAAGAAGTAAAATTCTTTTTGTAGGACTTGCCTGCAAAGCTGGAATCTGTTGATCCACCAAGCTAAAGAAAGGGGGTGGAAAGTATTCAAAAAAGTGATGCTTCATGGATGATTACATCAACACAAAAATGCACATCCTGGGCTCAATGATAAGAAAACTGTGGATGTAATTGCAGACCTTACCCACTTATTAGGTTGGAAATAGTCAGCTACTCTTAGTAATTCCTCTGCCATCCAGGTGACATTTGCAAGGCGTCTCAGTGATTCTCGCACTCCTTCTGAAAAATGTATCAGCTTCTTCATCCCTGCTTAAACAATACTGTGAGGTTAATTAATGAGTTGATTAAAACGGCGTCCTTACTCAAGGTGATTGTAGGTGATTATAGGTTTAAAGTGGAAGAACATGATTCGTATGGTCGTTCAGCAAATAAATATGTGACAGATCCTAGTTTGTTCTCCCAGAATCTAGTTGATTAAAATGGGGTCCTCACTCAAGGTGATTGTAGGTGATTATAGCTTAATGTGGAAGAACATCATTCTTATGGTCGTTCAACAAATAAATATGTGACAGATTCTAGCTTACTCTCACATAATCTAGCTAAAAAACTGGTCTGACAGTGTAATGGAAAACATTGCACATAATAGTTTCTTCATCAGCTCACTGCTTTGGAACCAGTCTCCTCAAGGGCTCACAGAGTATCTGGCCTTTTATTTGGTTGCTATGAACATCATTGTGTCTTTCAATATGTTCTAACTGTAATAAAGTATTTTAAGTTCTTTGCTAATCAATGCTTAGATGTAAATTAAGTAGTTATCCTTGTTCTTGCAACAGGTAACTGCTCACCATAATATCGTTTAGTCAGTTATGTTTGCACATATACACTAAGACACCCCTACGAATTCAGAAGCCAAACTTTCCAACCATTGACAGTGTAATCCTTCGTGAAGCCTTTTTGACAAGATATGACAGCCTCAGAAGCTGGATTATTTTCCTCCAGTTTTTAGTCTATCACATTCTTATTTTTGTTCAATCTATATGATGCCCTATCATGCTATGGGGCCTTTACCTCTACCCAAAGTATAGTTGTAGATGCATAGACATGCCAATAGTCTTTCCTCGAGTTCAAATCCAGGATGCACATATTGCTCCATTTTGTTCAACAAGATCTCACATGCACTGGATCGCAACTCATCAGAACTTTTTGCAACTTCACATCCAATCCATGCAATAGCTGTGAGACAGTCTCGAGAAATCCTCTTTGACTTACTGTCAAGTCCCTTCACCAGATCATGGAAGACAGGAGCGCCAAACTTCATAATGCGTCTTGCAAGTTTGCTGCACCATGCGTCAATGCCAGCATCCTATAGTTCCACATAAGTTGTTACAGTTACTCATGGGTTATTTTTTCAGATAATTGCACCTTGTTTCCTTTTACCGTTCCAAACTGACAATATGATGACAATTTACCTGCAAACTTTCATCTGAGAAGTCATAATTCTTTATCATGTTCTTGTGATGTAGTGAGGTTAAACCAGCCCTTTTTGCCAACCACGCCACTGTGTATGGTTCTCCAGTCCAAGAATAAGTTCCGCCTATATTTGATAGGATGAATGCTGATAATGCTTGTTTTGCAGAGTTTTCCTCAGATATCAGTGATTCAAGAAGTTCCTTCATGGCTTCTTCTCGGTACATGAGCTTGCTAGATGCTTCTTCCTGAAATGCGGAAAACCTTAGATCGTGTTAAGTAACATATGTGGATATTAATTTTTGTTTATGGAGAACTTAAACAAATTTACGTTACCAGCAAGTCTAATTGGAGTAACAAACTTGCTGCTAAGAGTCTATGCTCAGGTTGAGAATTCTGGATGAGAAGTAGCAATGCACTCATGCTGTTGATGCTTCCGTCTTTTCTTATCTCTTGCAGCAATTTAATTGCTGATGACCTGATACAGAAGTGTCTCATTAGACTGCCACAACTAGGATCATGATCTACTTACAACATAGGGTCCAGTTAACTTGTTTTTGGAAATTACTTGTTCCTGTAAGTGCAAGGAGGGTTTTCGCTATTTTTTAGTGAAGCTCCACCTTGAATCCACATTGTTAGTTGAATCGGTTATTTGAGTTGAATAATGGGTCTAGTCTATTGACACATTGAATCGCTGAAAGAATGCTGATGCATCTGAGAGATTTTGATAAAATTTACCCCGTCTCTCTCGCTCTCTCTCTCTCTCTCTCTTATTTTTTCAGCTCTTTGCTTTTAGCTAATGGCATTACACTCAAAAACACTTAAAGCAGCATTATAATACCTTGGCATGCGAAGCAGTTCATGAAAAAATTCCAGGGCAGTTGATGTTGCTCGTTTCTGATTGCTTCGTAGGAGAGAGAAAAGTTCAGTAATTGGAGCGAACTCGCATATGAACTTTCTGCAGTGTGCATCATAACGCATGCATCTTACAAGGATAGCAGCCAAAGAGATGAACTCTTCAAGGTTATTGTTTCCTGGGACATCAAGGAGCCCAGAAAGTACTCTAGGTGAGCTGATAGTGGACAGGTGCATGTTATTTGTTGTATAGTCAAATGCAGTCACAAGTATTTCAATAATCATCAGTGATGCTGCCCGAGGTGTCAGCCGAATTGATGTTATAGCATCCTTGTAGCTGTTAGAAGTGCAGACGACCTCCACTAAACAAGGTAAAATTCCTAATGTCTTGATTTCTTCAGGTGGAGGATTTATCAAATAGATTAAGATAGATGCCTCATGCACATTTCTTCTAAGAGCAGTTGCCAAATCATACAACTGCAAACCCTTGCGCTTGATGTCTTCAATAATTGTTTTGTTCCCCGAAACTATTGTTGACAGTATAGTCACTGAAGCTCTGATCACCTGCTCCTTTTTGGAGGTTGAAATAGCCATTAGCAGTTGATCCAAAATGATGTCCTTCAGTAGGGAATACTTCAAACCTCTTCTATTGTTCAACAATTTGTATACCGTTGAAATTTCAACTGTATAATCTTCCTCAAGATTTCCCAGTGTTTCGGAGAAGCAAAGCTTTGAAATTAGCCTTTCTAGTATTTGGGCCTGCTCGATATGAGAGGTTTCTTCAGGATATTTTTGAAGTTGATGTAAAGTATCACCAAAAGTTGTGCTTTTCATTCCCGTATCAGAAACTAAACTTCTTGTACGATGCAGTTGGTGGAACTGATGACCCCTTGGAGGAGTTGCCAACTCTTTAAAACTAGATTGTCGCCAATCTTGTAACTCGAATTTGCCTTGAGCAGCATCTTTTTTTCTTTTTCCATGTACAGGGACATGTGAATTATTGTCTATCGGTCTTGTAGCTGATACATCTATGTCACTGAATGAGCTGGATAATGTTCTAGAAAGGAGATTGAGAACAGCCAATCCTCGGCCATCTCTACGCATTAGATGTGTAGAATGCTGGGGCGTACATGCTGTAATTTCTGCATGCTGCTTGTAGCAAGAAGCTTGCAAGTTCCTATATTCAGTTAAATAAATCATATTAGTCTATCACATTAATATCTTCTGAAAGATCAGTCACTAAAAAAGAATTTTAATATTTTGACGATGCACCAAACTGATCATCAACTTCAGCTTGCTGGTCGTCTGCATTTTTCTTTCTGATTTTCAGTGAGAATGCCGAGCCTCTCTGGTTTCCCTGATTCAAGAAGAAGAAGAAGAAATTGTGATCTATTTATAGAAGAACTCCTCGTTCAAATACTCATCTTTCTAGGAAGGTATTACCTCAGGAAACGTTTCTTCTGTTGAACTGCTGTTGCATGACTCCATGGAAATTGGAGTATCAGACTGTGATTCAGTTAGGATATCTTTTAAGCATTTCTTACTCGAGCTTCTCATGGTTTCTGCGTAACAGCCCTGTGTCAAATGTGGAATAGCTATTGCATCATTTAGGACCCTGAAATCTTGATTATCAGATCCCATTATTGGTAATGTATTCTGTATAATCAAGGTGGACCTAACAGACCCGGTTTTTCCTCTAGGTTAAACATTATAAACAAGTTGAAGGAATGTATCCTTTATGTTTTCTGTGCCTTTTTTTTTTTTCCTGTGTTGTTTCTGGATATGCAACTTGATTTACATACATCGATAGATGGTCTGCATGCGCATATGGAAATAGTTAATCTTCAAGTTTCTGAAAGAATTCAATTCTATACTTAATTACTCCCAAGATAAAACATAGGCAAAGACTCACCCTAAGATTGCTCCCTTGGCTTTTCCCATTGGCACTTCTGAAAACTGGTTCCCTGTTCATAGTCATTAATTAATAACGAGATATGGCTAGTTCAAGAGTATTGAGCATTTCCCAGAGAAAGAATTGTTTAAAAAATTTATAATAGTAAAAGACAAGATGCATAAGTATGTAAGTTCTATTTTACTAGTTCAAAGTCTAATTTAGCAATCACTTTGCCATAAAGCATGTAAGTGCCAACCAGTTGAGATGAAATGAGCGTCAAGAAAAACTCTCACATTATGTACTTTGATTTGTCGTCTGGGACAGCATTGTCTATGCTTGCAAGGTGCTTTGGATCATGCTCACCATTAGACATGATCTGGTAATATAACAACCAGGCTTTATATTCCTTAGCCATCCATCCCATAATTTCATTGGCCTGATCCTCATCAAGATCTATGACAGTGGCTGATTTTGATAACCTACTCCCAGGTCTTTCCTGCCTTTTATGCCTGATGTACATATGCATGATACTTTGGCAAAGCTCTGGCGCGAATTCATCACGGACAAGCCTAGGGGAAACAAGAAGAGCTTGAAGAAAGTGTAATGCAGCCTGCCAATCATCTTTTTGGAGCTTCCGGACAACTGATAGGTAAAAGTAGGAGCAACAGATCAAATATTCATTGGGAATTCCAGATGTAAATCCTTGCTCATGGAGTGAAGCAGGAACTTGAAGCATTTTCTCTGAATTCTGCAGCCTCGAGGTTCTCTCTTCTTCCCCTTTTGCTCGAGTTGCCGCATCAATAGCCTCAATACCCCAATACAGATTTGATACTATCGAATACTCTGAGAATTCAAAAGTTGGTTGCTTCTGAATCTTAAGCTTGGAAGTGCATTTGAATTTCAAAGACATCCATGCCTTATTATTTGCAAGTAATGCATTTATGTGCTGATTGATTGTAGTGGCAAGTGCACTCACAGACTCAATGTCTAATCTCATAGTGTTATCTTTGGAAAAGGATGAAGCAGAAGAACCAGAGATGGAAGCCATTGAGTTCTGCAACAATTTAGCCTCATCAAGAACAAAAGGAAGAAGAAAAAGAGGCAGATAAGAGGGCGATATGTATGTAAACGTTGCAGAGCATTAGAGGTCTGCAAGACTGCAACATCTGCTCGTGATTTTTTGCTAAAACTCCCAAACTTCTGTGGTCCCTCTCTTACTGAGTATTAGCCGTAAGACAAAGATATGGCCGTTGCGGCTGTCGAAGGAGGGAAAGTAATCGAGTGAAACAAATTTATGTTTTGGCTGCACTTTCTTAGTCACTGAAGATCATTATCCAAGCCATATTAACAACAGTTTCCCTTTTTTTTTTGAGAATGTTACAGTTGATAGTTGGTGAAGAATGAGTAGGAAAAATCTTCAAATGAATGATACACTTATCTGAAAACTATTCCTGCTAAGCAGAATGTGTAGTGCCTTTTCGGAAGTTGATGTATGTACTTGACTCCTTTCCCATGTATGGTCCTTTTTATATTAAATTCAGTACATCTTTGTTTTCTTTTGGGCAAATTGATTAGTCATGGTGGATTAGTGCTCCACCATGATGTTTAACCCTTTTCTACATCTTCTGGACAAGCTTACTCACACTCAATGCACGCGTGCTCACCAACAGAGACACCTATTATTGTCAGATAAACAAAGAAAGGGGAAACAACCCGACACCTTATGGTCTTCGCTTTCCAGTTGTGAAAAAGATAATTGTGGTTACTAGCAGAATAGGAAATCTGATTGATGTTTCAGTAAAGAAATTATGCATTCTTACAAGGGGCAAAAAAAAAAAATCTAGTCTTTCTGATGGAGCTCTGAGTACTGGAGTTTGTGGAACATCTTTTTCTAGAGGTACATCCCTATCTTCTTGACCTAACAGTGACAGGGGGTGCAATATGTCTCTCAAAATGATACAAGGTTACATTTCGTGCTTAGATTTTTAACCATGCTCGCTTATTTATCTCAGTCGTTTATTTTCTTGAAAGATCATCATGTTAAATGATTTGCTGGCATTTTCTATACAGAATGAAATTCTTAGTTTCTACAAGGTCGTGAGTTGATGTGGTAGTAGAGTAGGTTGCGATGCAGAGACTGGTGTCACATAAAACAGAATACAGCTCGGACACTAAAAAGTTTGATTCACCTTTAGCACGTATGAAGACTAGAAGAAGCCAAAAGCAGAACAGATCGATTCCTTGACCTGTCAGAACAGAACCGTGCACCATTTCCTTTTTATCAACTGGAGTAACTTTTTTCCACCAAAATTCCTTGCCAAAATATACATTATTTGGCATAACCTATCTGGCACTTGCTTAGTTCTAAAACACAAGCCAAACTCCGTACTAAAAGAGAAGAGATAAAGCAAAAGAAGGTCCCGATTCCTGAAAAACAGCTAGATTCTGGGATATAATTCCGATGACATAGCGGGTCATGTGATCAACATGGCAGTGTGATGATCAAATTTAATTTCTTTTGTTGGGTTTGATGGAGGCCAATAATGACAACCCTCGTAAGGCTGTCACGAAAGAGACCCTACAAGATACATTAGCAGAGGCTTCTGTATCACTGCTTGCTTACTCTCTCAGGCCTTCTGTGAATGACTTGTGAAAATCAGACTGTGATTCCAGAATTAACTGCACAATCCCATTACCTCTTTTGCTACAGTGGTAGTGCAAATTGCAAGGCTATGAGATTTCAGCAAGTGGATGACTCCATTATTGAGTTCTTGGATTGGGGTCAAGATTGTTGGTCCCCAGTGTCACTGCACTGGTAAGGTCTATTCTGTCACGGGCACAGAAACATTTGGTCCTTTTTAAGATTCTTGATTTTATGGGCACTAAATCAAATCACATGTAATCATGTGTAGATGAAAGATTGAAAGGAAAGTAGGACGAGCATCTTCATTTATCTTCTACAAGACTGTTACCTAAACTCAGATGCATCAAATTCATAATTTGTCGACCAAAATCGTCTAATGATATTAATCATGGAGAACCTAAGGAAGTAACTAAAAATGCACCAATAAGCGGTAAGCATATTTACCAGTAAACCTGACACTAGAAAAATGAGGGATGACTGGAAAATGGTCAGTTCTATTGTTCTTTTCCTTGTCTTTGCTTTTTCCATGCTTTCATTTTTATGCATAATTGCAAGAAAAGTCCAGTTAAGATTAATCTAAGTGATATGTAAAGCTATATGTTGGTGAGCAAATACTACTATAACTAGAAAAGAAACATCCAACATAAAGGTACTGCCAATTCTTGAAAACACAAACTATAAAATATAGGAAGACATATATATGTGCGTTGGAATGAAATGGGTCACAGGCTCACCTAACTCTAGAAAGCCCGATACTCTTAGCTTACTATGCGTTCATTATCTTTTACTATGGGCCGTGTTGCCTAGGTTGACACCATATCAAACGTGATTGGACTTCGGAGTCTCGGAGTCCAGAGACTTGGAATTCTCTTTCAGTTGAATGGTAGCCATGTAAGAAGTTCAGCCGTTGAGGCCCGGGTTGATATCTTTAGGCGCGCTGCCCAAAATGAGACAGCTTAGTTTTTTTTTTTTTTTAATCTTATATTATTTTATTTTCATTTTTGTGATTTATTTTAGCAATTGATATTTGCACTCCAAAATAATCCTCTGGCACTCCACCTTTCTTCAAGTAATAAGATGCTAGAATGGAGTGCCAGTAGCTATTCTTGGAGTGCAAATGTCTCTTGCCCTTACTTTTGTAAAAAGTTGAGCAATAGGATTGGTTGAGGTGAAAAATGAATTCATCATCCATGTTGTTTTCCACTTCCTCTGCCCCATATGCCTTTTGGTACTTCAACTTTCTTGGAAAAGTAATCCCAACAAATTTAGAAAAAAAAGTCTTGACACATATTTATTATATTTAAATTGTTGAATATCAAATGTATGAAGGAGCTTACTTGTGCTTACACTCACCTAGCCTATAGTTTGAGTGAGAGTTGAATAACCTTTACCTTAGCTTTTAACGAGACTGAAATGGATTGTTTACGCTAAGATTAATAATAATGTCTCTGAGATTAAAGATCTTATCATTGTACTCATAGAAGAATCCTTATTAGAGGTGCCTTTTGGATAATCTACCTCAGCTGCAATATGTAGATAATGCCAATTCTAATATGTGTGAATCTTGATAACTAAATCTGAACTATACATAGCTTTGTTTATTCGAGTACGAGGCCATGAGCATATGATGTGTAAGTTGTCAATGGTGACTAAATGAAGGCCTCAACATGTCAAATTTGTTTTGTTTGAAGAGGTTGAACATTGCAATAGCACGCTTTTGATGATCTTTTTCTTTTTTCCTTCTACTGTTGAGAAGTCAAAAACTGTGTAGTTAAAGATGCTTCTCGACTCATAAACAAAAGAGACAAAGGATAGAAAATCAACTTTATCATATTATATATACAACTTGTATGAGTCTATTCATATCTACTTCGCGTACATGTTGCATGCTTATGATCAATTTCAAAGATGTTACGTTAAGCTCTCTGACCTAATAAAACTGCCCCGATTTGACAGACTAAACTTACCTGCTAATGTAGACAATTCAATAAATATGACTGAGTCTTCTTCACACTGCCATCTGATGATCAAGAAGAACCCTTCGTCCTCATCAATACAAAAGACCAATGTCAACTTCATTTTCTGATTTCCCATGCTTATAACTACTAGTCCAACATTCCCTTCTATAGATGCTGCTGGAAAACGCTCATGTAAAGCTACCCATCTTTGGCCCCTTTTTGTCTTAATTCTTCTATCGACTTCCCCTGGATTGACCGCAGCTGAAAGGGATAGTGCTCATTCTGCAAATATACCAACACATTATAATTTCTTGAGAGGAAGACACAGAGTTTTCACTTGTGCAAATGATCCAACTTTGTGCTTGGATCCTGAGAAGAACCCTTGGGGGGGAACCACTTGCTGTTTCCAAAAATTTTGCAAGGATACAAGAAGTGACCCGCGCCACTGCGGGGCATGTGGGAGTACTTGTGCATTTGGGCTCATTTGCTGTGATGGAAAATGTGTAGACATTCAAAATGATCCTCAACATTGTGGTGCTTGTTTTGAAGAATGTTCAGGCCAAAATAGATGCTCCTTCGCTATGTGTGATTATGGTGGGTAATAGTTTTTTCATTTTCTTTTTGGATTTTTTTTTTGATGAAGATTTCAGAATAATGGAGCTCCTGTTATGCTCCTAACAATCAATAATTTTAGTGCATTTATCATTTTGTAATTCAAATTTCAAGATGTTGGGCTCATTGTTCTAATCAAAGGAAGCTGATTGCCTTTGTTGTCTCAAATTTGTGATGCTACCTCTCTCGTGCGTCTTTGTCTTTTATATACCTAATCACTACAGCCTTGCTCCTTTTTTAACTTTTGGCATAAAAATAAGTTTATGCAAATGAAGGGGGGGAAAAAAAATAAAAGCCCACATATCATTGCCACCTCTTGTCACATAAATCAATCGGCAAAGTATATGCAATGCTATGTGGTGCTCTCTCCTGCTTTTTTGAGAAGTCAATGGATCGAATATAACTAACTGGTGTTTTTTATTTTTTTCCTGAGAACCAAAATGTATAGGTGGTTCCCCTTTCTCTCTGTGGAATTCTGAAATAAATAACAAGAAGGAAAATACATTAAATTATTTTGAGTCGTGTTCTAAAGAAATATCACTTGAGGCAAGTGAAGTCTTAGAAGTGCTCGTACAATGTATGGAAGAGCATGTACCAATAAAAAAAGGAAGATTGACATGATCTAATCTAATCATCAATTGCAACATATAAAACCAATGGACAGTAAGTGTTTATGTTTAGTTACATCATAACATTGGGTAAGATGTAAGTGGTTAGACTTTCACACATGGAATAAATAAAAGGTAAAGAAAATTTTGGGAAAATCATTTGGTCAAGGGGAAGGACCGAAAAACATCTCCATTCCTGGTTCACGATAAAGTCTACATCCAGTTCCTGCTTTCGCATTTGATCTTGTCTTATCCTTGTCCCCCCACCCGACTCCTCTCTGGAGAAGTCATTGGAGCAAAATCATAGCTGACCAACTATTCAGTTCTCTATTAGTAATATTCTTTCTCAACTGGGCAGATGAGTCATGCTTGTCGTTTCTTTCATTTTTTTTTTTTATTTTTTGTAGAAAATTTTTTTGGCTTAGGAACTTCTAATGAGGGGTGGGTACGCCCGCCATATTTTATTCGAAATTTTGGCCTGCCATGCTCGCGAGTCAGAATAAATCATGTCCATCATTGAACCTTCCATTCTCATTCTCATCAGCCTCCATCAATTCTTGACGAAGTTTGATTTTGACTGTTCATTGATCCATGGAGATGGAAGAGGCACGAGAGTCCACTAGTTTCAGAGTACTGATGTTCCCATGGTTAGCTCATGGACACATCTCTCCCTTCTTGCAACTCTCCAAAAAACTGACCCAAAAGAATTTCCAAATATACTTCTGTTCTACGGCCATTAACCTCTGTTTTATCAAGAAAAACTTAGGTGAAAACTCATCTGACAATTTAAGACTAGTAGAACTTCATTTGCCAGACGTTCCTGAACTTCCTCCATGCTATCACACAACAACGAAACTACCACCCCATCTCATGTCAACCCTCATGCGTTCTTTTCAAAGTGCAAAGGCCAGCTTTAGCAGCATCGTCTCAACTTTGAAACCTGATTTGGTTATTTATGATAGTTTCCAATCATGGGCCTCTACACTGGCTGCAATCCATAGCATTCCTTCAGTTCATTTTTCGACTTCAGGGGCAGCTACGATGTCTTTCTTTTATCACCAGCTTAGTTCAAGAAGGGATAGTGGTATTTTTCCTTTTTCTGAAATTTTTCAGAGGGATTACGAAAGAGATAAATTCGATTCCTTAGTTGAATCCAACAGGGGGGTTGCAGAGGATTTTGCTTTCAGAAGCTTTGAGCTATCTTCTGAGATCGTTTTGATGAAAAGCTGCGTAGGAGTTGAGGAGAAGTATCTTGATTACTTGTCTTTCTTGTGTGGGAAGAAGATGGTAACTACAGGTCCACTCATTCAAGAATCACACCACAACTATGAGAATGATGATGATGTGGGTATCATCGAATTTCTGAATAAAAAAGAACAATCTTCGGTGGTTTTTGTTTCTTTTGGGAGTGAATATTTTTTGTCCACAGAAGAAAGGGAAGAAATAGCATACGGGCTGGAGCTCAGTAATTTAAGTTTTATCTGGGTAGTTAGATTTGCTGAGGGGAACACAATTAGCATTGAGGAAGCATTGCCAGAAGGATTTCTTGAGAGGGTGAAAGAAAGAGGGATGGTTGTGGATAAATGGGCACCTCAGGCTAAAATTCTTGAGCATTCAAGCACATGTGGATTTGTGAGTCATTGTGGATGGAGTTCTATAATGGAAAGTTTGTACTATGGTGTTCCAGTGATTGCGATGCCTATGCATCTTGATCAGCCTACTAATGCTAGACTTTTGGTGGAAATTGGTGTAGGAATGGAGGTTCTGAGGGGTGACAATGGGCAGATAAGGAAAGAAGAGGTTGCTAGAGTTATAAAATTGGTGGTTTTAGAGAAAAATGGGGAAGAAATAAGAGGAAAGGCTAGAGAATTGGGCAAGAAGTTGAGAGCAAAAGGTGAAGCAGAGCTGGATGAAGCTTTGGAGGAGCTTAGGAATCTATGCAGCAAGCACAATCAGCAGAGAAGCCGAAGGCCCTCATGACAATTTTTTCCATATATATGTTTGGCCCTACTTATATATCTCTATTGTTAGAATAATTTAAACCAAGCTAATTAGAATTCAAAAATTAATTGGCGTTTTAGTTGTTTTATATATTAATGTCAAGTTTGTGCTTGGTTTGATTGTTAAAGTTGTACGAGAATGGGTTTTATAGTTATTTAGAAAATTGTCTACGTGGAACTGATAATAAAGTTCATTTAGGATTTAATTAGTCTGGTGTCCTATTTAATGGTCTTGTGGCTGGTTTGTGTTAATTGAGCAAAGCCATCGGATGGTATTGTGAGAATGAATCATTATTTTGCTCCAAGCCTTCTTCTTCCTTTCTTTTATCCTTTGTTCATCCGTTTGATTGACATTATAAGTTTGTTTCTTAATTTATCAATTATTGATCATTTAATTAGAGATATTATATTTACTTTCACTGAATGATTATTTATTTTGTGCTAGCATCTGTCGAGATCTTGATTGGATGATATTATTATCTAAGGGATTTTGACCTAGAAAGATGGGAAAAAATTCAAATGAAGAAAACTTCAAAAGCTCAAAATAAAAAAGTAGTGTGAAACTTCAGGGCCTGCGCCTGCGGTCTAATTACGTTGTTCATCGGAACCGTCAACTACTGAACACTGATTCGCTACATTCTTTCCATAGTGATCTTCGGCATGTACAACAACAATTCTTTTTGGATTCATGAAAATCTTAAAGAAGCTGGATTTGAAGTGGGATTGCAATATTGCATCCACATTTCTATTTCGCCATTACGTAATTAACGATGAGAGATGTTAGGCCCTTGATACGTCTAACATCATTGGATTTATTTACCCACTCTCAACTTTGTATCTTCTAGATTTATGCTTAATCAGGAATCATGATGCAAGAGCAGGTTGGAATGTGTGTTTGTGCCTATCTTATTTTAGTTGGTTTTGGCTCCTATCATCTTTACGAGTCACAAGCAATATTCTACCTTGAATTCTACCTTAATAACTCCTGCAATCTATGTCCACAAGAATTTTATCTTAATGCTACTAGAACTCATGCACCCTTTGCCTCGACCTTCAAGTCTGCAGGGTTTCCATGGTTAGCTCTTGGCCGCATCTTCCCATTCTTCGAACTCTCCAAACAACTCTCAAATAGAAGAAAATTCAAAGTACACTTCTGTTCTTCAGCCATCAATCTGAGTTCCATGAAGAAAAAATTTTGCTGAAGAGATGTCTGCTCCAGCTCATCAAATAGAATTAGTGGAACTTCATCTGCCAGAATTGCCTGAACTTCCTCCGCACTATCACACAACAAAAAAAACCTATCATCCCATCTCGCATCAATCCTCACGGGTTCTTTTCAAAATGCGAAGCCCAGCTTCAGGAAAACCCTCAACTGTTTGAACCCTGATTTGCTAATATATGACATGACAGCTTCCAAACATGGGCGCCAAAACTGGCTGCTATAAATAATATCCCTTGTCTTCACTGTGTAACTTCTGGGGCTGCATCCTTGTCTTTATACTATGCATCTGCACGCTTATGGAATCAACACTGATACTTCTCCATTTTAGGCACTTTCTCTGACGGACTATGAAAGAAAGAAAATGAAAGCCGTGGTTGAATACAATAGAGATGCTGAGGAAGTAGTTGCATGATGTTTTGAACTGTCTTCTGAGTTTTTTATGATCAAAAGCAGCAGAGAAGTTGATGAGAAATATCTTGACTACCTGTCTATCTTTTGTGGGAAAAATATGGTAACCATAGGTCCACTTATTCAAGAATCAAAGCTCAGTACTGAGGATAATGATCATGTGAGTATCATCAAATTTCTGAACAAGAAAGATCAATCTTCTGTAGCTTTTGTCTCTTTTGGGATTGAGTGTTTCATGTCTAGTGAAGAAAGGGAAGAAATAGCATATGGACTAGACCTCAGCAATGTTAACTTTATCTGGGCTCTCAGATTTCCTGCAGGGAATGAAATTTGTAGTATTGAAGGAGCATTGCCTGGGGGATTTGCTGAAGGGGTGAAAGAGAGGGATTTTGTGGATGGATGGGCACCTCAGGCTAAAACTTGAGCATAATTGATAAGGAATGGATTGTAGACTCTTGCGAGTTTCACCTTATGGCATGCTAGGCTTTTTGTCAAACCATTAGTGATTTTGGGCCTCGGCCTATTTTCCACAACCCATTAATTTTCTTACCAAACAAAAAAAAAAAAAAATCACTCTCTCCTTTCTTTTTTTAAATAAATTTTAAGTTGTATATGATATTAACTCATGCAATTTGGTAAAACCTAAATTAAGTGTTACAAATATATATATATATTTTATTCTCAGAGGGTTTGTGCTGATGTATAGTTCAGTGGAAAAAAACAAATTTCGTTGCCTAACTGCAGTTTGCATCCTATTAAGAGATTTTAAGGCTTATTTTTGTACCATAAGCAACCATGACAAGCCTCAATCAACCACTCCTCCATTACATATTAGAACCGTATTCCACATATGGGTCCTAATTAAATTGTCAGTGATGTGCATCAGATATGAATAAAGAAAAGGGATAATTTCAGAAACCTCCCCTGAGGTTTCTGACAATTACACTAACCTCCCATGTGGTTTGAACAATTACACTGACCTCCCCTGAGGTTACTAATCCTTTACAAATTTAGTCCAAATGATTAAAATATTGTTTTAGAGAGTGAAATTAGAATTTTGTACCTGATTTGTCTTTTGTGCTACATGTCCAATGAATGACAAAGTATTACAAATTAATTAATAATTAATAAACTTTAAGGAGTGTAGTTTATAGGTAAATAAGTATTACTTATTTAAAGTACCAACTCTTTACGAGTATTTTACTTTCAAACATTTACTTTATTACAAATATTTATTCTCAAATACAGATTTGTATTTACTCTCAAATATTTAATTTTTGTTAAATACAAAACCTACCAATTTTTCTTCCATAGAAATATTAATATAACACTTTTTCACTTTTAGTTATAAATATTTATGTATTTAACATAAATTAAATGATTCAGGATAAAATACTCATAAAGAGCTAATACTTTACTCATGTAATGGATGAAAATCATAAAAAATTAATACTTTATCGGCCATTTCTTTTTTAAAAAATATTTAATTTATATTAAATAGATAACCTACTGATTTTCTTTTTGCGAGAATATTACTGTAACACTTTTTAATTTTTAATTACAAACTTTAATATATTTATCATAAATTAAATATTTGAAAATAAAATATCTGTAAAGAGTCGGTACTTTAAATAGGTTATGTGTATTTGCCTATAAATTATACTCTTTAAAGGAAGGAGTGTAGTTTATTGATTTAAGTAAGGAGTGTAGTTTATAGGCAAATACACATAACCTATTTAAAGTACCCGCTCTTTACAGATATTTTATTTTCAAATATTTAATTTATGATAAATATATTAAAGTTTGTAATTAAAAATTAAAAAGTGTTACAGTAATATTCTCGCAAAAAGAAAATCAGTAGGTTATCTATTTGATATAAATTAAATATTTTTTAAAAAAAGAAATGGCCCATAAAGTATTAATTTTTTATGATTTTCATCCATTACATGAGTAAAGTATTAGTTCTTTATGAGTATTTTATCATGAATCATTTAATTTATGCTAAATACATAAATATTTATAACTAAAATTGAAAAAGTGTTATATTAATATTTCTACGGAAGAAAAACTGGTAGGTTTTTTATTTAACGAAAATTAAATATTTGAGAGTAAATACAAATCTGTATTTGAGAATAAATATTTGTAATAAAGTAAATGTTTGAAAGTAAAATATCCGTAAAGAGTTGGTACTTTAAATAAGTAATACGTATTTGCCTATAAACTACGCTCCTTAAGTTTATTAATTATTAATTAATTTGTAATACTTTGTCATTCATTGGACATGTAGCATAAATGGCAAATTAGGTACAAAATTCTAATTTCACTCTCTAAAATAATATTTTAATCATTTGGACTGAATTTGTAAAGGATTAGTAACCTCAGGGGAGGTCAGTGTAATTGTTCAAATCACAGGGGAGGTGAGTGTAATTTCAGAAACCTCCCCTGAGGTTTCTGACATTTACAGAAACCTCAGGGGAGGTTTCTGAAATTATCCCTAAAGAAAACTTGCATTGTCTTGTTTTATGTGTTTACGTACCTTACTCCATGTGATGAACTGATGATGATGGGATCTAACTCGTCCCTTCATTTATTATCAAAAAAAAAAAAAAACTCGTCCCTTCATTTCTTTTTTAAGGTCAATTTCATTCATGCCATTCAAATTATGTCCATGTTTCAATCAAGCCTAATAAGATAACCTCTTAATTTGTTATCTCAAAAAAACCTGTTAATTTGTTATCTCAAGCCCTCTTTAAAAAAAAAAAATTTCCCCTGAATGATGATATATGGACATTTTACCTTCCAATTGGAAGTTTTAGTCAAGGACGCCTTAAGCTTGATAAAAGAAGAAAGAAAACCTACTCGTTAAAGGGGAGGCTTGGCTTCAAAGATTACCCATTACAATATTTCAGAGCAAGTGACAAATGACAACTTAACAAGAAAAATGCCACTAAATTGGAATATATATTTTCTTCTATATATATATATATATATATATATTAGGGTTGCAAATGAGTCGAGTAGAGTCGAACCGAGCTTTGACTTAGTTTTATCAAATTCATACTTGAATTTGAGCTCGAGTTTAAAAAATAAAAATTACTTATTTTATTTTAAAAAAAAAATAAAATAATATTTTTTTCTTAATAAATAATAATATATTAGGAATATATGTAATTTTACTATTAAAATAAAAAAATATATACTTTAGCTCATGATTAAAATAAAATAAAATAATATATATATATATACTCGAGCTCGTAAATCTAGTAAATTTAATATTTTTAAACTCGAGTTCGATCTAATCAATTTGAATTCAATTCGAATTCAATGTTAATCGAAATCGAGTTGAATTTTGACTGGCGAGCGATTGGATTTGTTTACTACCCTAATATATACATAGCTTTTTTTTTTGTCAAAATGATAACATTTGTATTGATT